ACAAGCTAGCGACTATATATCACCAATCCTTAGATTTGACGATGTTGATGTCGTTATCCATAGTAGAGACGACTGGAAAAGAAGTAACCCTCCTCTGGACGATCTGGCCTTCTATACAGACGGATCCAAGATGGAAGAAGGTACTGGGGCAGGCGTCTACTGTGAAAGGTTAGGCCTTGAGTTGACCTACAAGCTGGATAGTAATTGTAGTGTTTTCCAAGCTGAAATCTTCGCGATCTGGAAGGCAGCGGAATTGATAAAAAACCTGGATGCTGAGGTCGTTGAACCGGTGACTATCTTTGTGGATAGTCAAGCGGCTCTTAAAGCCATCAAATCTTGCCACATCAAATCCGAAGCCGTCCTCAAGTGTAGAGCAGCTCTGGAAGAACTTAATCATAGCTATCGGTTGTGTTGGGTACCAGGACATTGTGACATCTTGGGTAATGAAAGAGCGGACGAACTAGCTAGACGAGGATCTCAATCCACCGATCTAGAAACTGATGACTCACTTAAACCACCCATATGTCTTTTCTATAGGAACTTTGAGGCATTCTAGGTGCAACGTGTCAAGATCAATCTGGCCGACTCTGTCTACCAAAAGAACGCACTCACTATTGAACCTGAACAAAGCTGAAATTAGAGTGATGACGGGAATCATCACTGGTCACTGCAACATCAGGGCCCTTACTAGTAAATGGGATCTTGATGCAACTGATTACTGTAGACTCTGTGATGAGTGATGATCAACCGAACCTGCTCTAATCTACAGCATAATTAGAAAAATAAAAAGGTTAGGAGCACATAACCTTGGCACGTAATGTTTTTTTCTGTCTGACTCATAGGACCATCGACCTTCACTCATTCTTCACTCCTTTAATCTACTACTCTTCTCTCCCCTACAGATCTTTCTTCTTGGTCTCTTCTCTTCACGGTATCCTTTCTTGTGGATGATCACAACGGACCTAACCGGTCTCAAAGTGTTGCAGTCACGCATGTGACTGCACATCCCCAAACCAAACCAACTATTGCTCTATAATGGAACATCAACATTGCAGCTTCGATTCAAGACCTCAAACATAGAATTTTCTAGAAAAGGAACCCTGTTTTGATGTAACACCACATAACGACATGATCGAAATTTCGATATTTTCAGAATTTCCGACACATGTTTTCAACCGATATCTTAATCTAAATATATATAGGCATATCTTAATATATAAAAGAGCTTAGTGTCAAGTGAGTGACTAACAGATCATCGCCCAGACGAAACGGCTGAAGCTTGATATAAGGCGTACACATCAACAACAACCGACACTCAAAATGGGTTTTTGGAAATTCGAACTAGAAGGGTACGAAAAGTACTAAAATGTACTAAATATGGTACCCTTTGTATTAGGCAAACGAGATGAACTAAAATTCTTCAAATTTGGAATGTGGGTCACTGATGGTTCAATGGTACGAAAGATGTACAAAGGGGTTTTCGGAAATTCAACCTACAAGTGTACGAAAAGTTTCGAGATGAGCTACAAAATTTAGTTCTAATTGTATATATATTGAACATATATAGCAAATGACTGCTGGGGTATAGATTGAAATAATTTAGGAAGTTCGAACTTATTTGTACGAAAACTACTAAATGGTACTTAATTTAGTACTATTTGGTTTTTATTGAACCGATAGACCTGAAAACCTGATATTAGGAATTAAGATTACTGTTGAAGATTGAGCTATAGGGACATCTTTGGAAATTCGTATTTATGTGTACGAAAAATACTAAACGGCACTAGATTTGGTACAATTTGGATTTGGATCAACGCAGAGAGCAGGAAACCTAAAATTTGGAATACTGGTTGCTGTTGGAAAATAGAATTGAGATATGGCAGCATAGTACTTAAGTGTACTAAATGGTACTTTATTCGGTACAACTTGATTATATGTGAACGGATAGAGCTGAACTCCAGAATTTTGGAACAAAAATTACTGATACAGTACAGAATTGAGGTAGTTTAGGAAATTCCTAATTATATTGTTTAGTACAGGATTGAGACAGTGTTGGAAATTGAAACTTACGAAAAGTTCTACATGGTACTAAATATAGTACAAATTGGATCTATGTAAACTTATGGGGCTGTGAACCAGACATTTATGATAAAAATTACTGTTAGGATGTAAAATTGAGAAAGTTTTGAAATCGAACCTACGTCTATGAAAAGAAATAATTGGTACAAAATTTGGTTCAATTTGAATGTTAATGAACGAATAGAGCTGGAATCCTTAAATGTGGACTTGGTACTATTTGGATTATGGTGAACAGATAGAACTGGAATTCTTAAATTTGGACTTGCGATTACTATTTAAAAGCAGGACAGAGGTAGTTTAAGAAATTCGTACTTATGAGTACGAAAAGTTCTAAATTTGCTAAGATTAGAACTGATGTCGTTTTAGAAATTCTTTCTTATGGGTATGAAAAGTACCAAATTTGGTACAATTTGGATTTGAGTGAATGGATAGATATGGAATCCTGTAATTTGGAAATTAGATTACTGTTGAAGTGTAGGATTGAGCTATGGAGACAGCTTTAGGCCATTGACAGAGATTTAAAAAGATGTACTTAAGGGTTTTTGGTAATAACCGGTACTAAATTTAGTAAAATTAGAAGTGCGATGGATATATGCGATGAATATATTCCTGTCTGCACGTTGCTACTTCGTTTTCACAATGTATTATTATCCAAGGTTCATGTCCATGACATAGCGGCCATGTAATAGTTCCGACGGATATTAGGTATTTAAAATGCCCAGCTAATGGTAGAGGGTATAACAAGTTCGGTCCGGGATATATTAACAATGTTCTTACAGTTTAATCTTTTTCGATGTGCTTCGCAAGATGAACTAGAACATTCATATAATTTCATTTCTTTTAGTTCACGTCTGTTGTTGTTGTTTTAGCAACAGAAAACATGCGGTGGATCATTCATTGACTGGTTCTGCTTCCTCTACATCAAAATTCAAGAATGTTGCAACTTGAACGGGTTGCGTCCATAGTGAATTCGGCAATAGATGATTCGGCTTAGCTGGACAGTTGAAGATGTGCAACGTGTCGTGTGGTCCTACCATTCAGACCTGCTTGATAGGCTTCTTAATCTAGGAGTTCACGCTTATGCCTTTGGACCTCTTTCTCTCTCTCTCTAGATCATGAACCTGACGTGCCTGGGTGGGGGAGTCCTGTCCATAAGACTATGACAGGGGTATTCCTAACGATAGCATCCAAGCAAGTACTGCATCGACAACATGTAATTGTGTCGATGGACGGGTAAGATCTTCGTGAAGATCTTCATGAGACACCCTGCTGTAGTTTTCAGGGCAGCATTCTGACAGGTCTGTATATTCTTCCACTGTGTATCACTTACATTCGCGAACCACACTGGCGCCGCATAGCTTACCACTGACCGGTCATAAAGCAGTGGCTTGCGCAGACGACTTGAAAAGGCTGTCGAACGTTACTCCCAGTATCTTGGGGTAGTTGGTGATCGGAATCAATTCTCCATCGACCATTATGTTCAGTGGAAGCTTCATTTAACATCTGTTAATTCGTTGAATGATCAGAAAGATTTAGTTGAAAAATGGGATCAAAATGAACTATTTGGACAAAAATGAAAGACTGGAGCATAAATTACTAGATGAACTAATAAACATGACCTATTACAATAAACATGACCTATTACAGATCGTTTTTACGGAGTTTTTTGAAGTAGTTCGTGCAGGAACGAACCTAATCTATTTGTTCCTTAACTTCAACTACTTTCTACAGATCCAGATCCTGCAAAAATCTTCTATCAATCGTCTTTCCGAATTTTCCTTTAAAAATTGGAAAAATCTAATAGAAAAAAAAATTTATCTGCAGAGACAGGTCCTTAAATGGCTAAGTGTGAATTTGATGGTCGTGAGTTTCTGGTGGCATTGATTTTTTGACAAAGCTTCTTAATCATCCCTGGCCGATCTCTTCAAAATTCCAAGAATCATCATCGGATTCTGTTTTCCACACACTTTCAAGTGAATTGTTCGGGTCACGATACCACCAGAACTTGTTCCCATTGTTCCTTTTGCGTAATAGTTCATATGAACTAGTTCATTTCGGAACGACCAAACTTTTGGTATGTTTCCGTTCTGCCAGAATCTACTATTTTTACTACGATAACAAAGTTTGCTTTATGATATCGAAAAATTGTAAAAACTAGTAGATTCTTGCAGTACGGGAAAGATAATTTACTAATTGTCAGATTCTTAAATGTCTGAGTACGATGTAGATGCTAACCCCCTTTGTATGGCTCGAATATGCCAAATTCTTAATTTTGTATATTATCCGACGAATGAAATCCTGTTGGTCATACCTTCAAGGGACTTCTTCCTGGTCATTTATTTATAAATTTCCTCTTTGGTTCAGGGAAATCTTTAAGGGAAACACATACGAGAAGTCAGGCCTGTTAAGTTGACTTTTTATTAAATGTCAATTTATAAAGGAATATCAGAGTCAAACTTGATTTCTTTTACAATAAAATAAGCCAACTTAACAGCCAAGCCTGAAGTCCTCTTACGTGTTTCCACCTTTATTCCTGTTTGAGCTTTATCCTGCTTCTACTGATGTTGTTCGGGTTCAAACTTCGTTAAGAAAAACGCCAAAGTGAGAATGCGAAAAAGTCGCCATAAAATTATGTTCAAAATAAGTCGAAGGGAAAAAATGCACCAGAATTTAAATCCAAAAAATCTGATATAGAATTTAATAAACTAATATATCGAGATATTCGAAAGACGTCCTTTTGTGAATGCCCACCTTGCAACTAAATCACAGCATGTGAACAACCCATATGCATAACGAAAACAAAACTTGGCAGCACTTGTCGCACTCTTTAAGACAGTTCTCAATTGTCAACATTGATCAGCTGTTCTGTTCAATTTCGGCCGCACTTCACTTGCATGAAACTACATTTAACACAAAAAATTTCCAGAAATTGCTAAATTAAAACGATAACAAATAACTGCTAAAAAATGGCCAGTTACGATGCCTATGGTACGCCAACTAAACCGGATAGCAATTGTCGGACATGTACCGATTTCAAATCATGGTCAAAACAACAGCGGAACATATTTCAAAAGGCAACTGATGTAAGCATTGTAATCCCTTTGGTAAACATTCCATAATTATTTTGTATAAAATTGTAGAATAAAGACGCATCCAAAGTAGGAGGAGATGGTAGCTCAAAGGATTCAAATATGCCACGTGAAGATTGTCCCTTAGATAAATCACGATTGGGTCAATCCACCTGGGGTTTGTTACACACCATGGCGGCATTCTATTCAGATAATCCCACCGATAATCAAAAGAAGGATGTGAAAACCTTCTTCGATGTCCTCTCCCGGCTATATCCCTGTGAATATTGTGCCCAAGATTTTCGTAAAGAGTAAGTATTCACAGATGATGCAATTGTTTAGCTTAATCACGAAATATAAAAATATCATTTGTATCTCCTTATAGCCTCAAAGAAAATCCCATTCAGGTGAATTCACAAAAGGAATTCTCATTGTGGTTGTGTGAATTCCACAATCGAGTTAACACGAAATTGGGTAAACCCATATTCGATTGCAGTAAGGTGAACGAAAGATGGAGGGATGGCTGGTTAGATGGTTCATGTGACTAATGAAAGGAGGAGTACCTAACTGAGGCACCACCATCATTAATGCAATTCCTATTGTTGTCTAATAACATCGGTTTACTTTAGTTACCTATCCGATTTAGAAATGTTTTGCCATGTATTTATTATAAGAATTTTATAAGAAAACTAAAAACATATTCTCATTTTTTTATTCTGTTTTGGAATATGTAGTTTCCTTATAACTTGTAATCATTCTATTGTTATGTATCCCTATGTTCGTTCCATTGGGAAAATACACACACATATATACTTGATATATTTCCAGTTTGTAAATATATATACTATTGTATAATTGTTACTATCAAATTTGATATGTTTTTACTTAAATATTAATAGATTTCGTTTAAATTGCTGACCCCTTTGTAATGCTAAAATATAGTTACTTTGGTTGGAAAATGTGCCTCCACCGACCTAAATACCTACAAACGGTCTAAAGCCTTTTCCCAAAATACTACAAATGAAGGCCAAATCGTTGAAAAACATGCCTGAGATCCTTAAAATAACGAAAATTAGGTAGGCTCCATTATATGATGACTATACCTGATAATCGAATGAACAAGCGAAAAAAAGAGTTAAATTCGTCCGGGCCGAACTTTGGATATCCATAGGTACTGACAGGAACTTGAAATGAAAAATCAAAACGGTGACCTATACCAATATTTCTACAAACCGATTTATATAAACCATAATGTAAACCAAATACAAATTTCAACAATTTTTAATGGAGATTTTTCTTAAAAACACCAGAGTGTTTACCGATATCCCCAAAAATAATGCAATTTACACAGCAAAAAAAAAAAATGCAATATTTATATTTCGGGAGGTTGGGTTGTTGTTGTGGCAGCCCTATTGCTTTTACACAACGGGCCGAGGTGACAGACGTTGGCCGAGTAAGACTCGGGTCGTTTCGGATTGTAGACCCCTCTGTCGTGGAAACGGGGATGTTGGGTGGAAACTGTTTGTTCAATATGAAAATTGTTATTGCAGAAAAAAATTGTATAAGCACGTCCCTGGAGGCTATTCCTAAAGCGGTATTATGTTGATAATATCGTGTAGGAATTGCCGAACATTTGTAGTTATCATTATATGAGGTGCTATGCCTAATGAGGACTGATACAGCTCCATTTCGAAACTAACAATATTGCATCACAATAACTTCCGAAAATTGGTAGGTATTATTATATGGGGGCTAGGCATTTAGGCCTAGGTTTTTATCTCGATATTTTCCGCATGCAGAATGATAAGAAGAACTCAAAGTACTAAATTACATCCAATTCGGGCATTGGGGTACTTTGGGGTACCCTTTTGTGGGGGCAACCCAAAAAATGGACCTATATTTATAATTTTTAGTGGAGAGATTTGGTAACCTGTAAGAACTCATAGTACTAAATAGCAGTGAATTCGGTCGAAAAATGCGATCAAAACCCCCAAAATACCGAAAAATGGTGGCACCCTTATATGGGGGCTATCCGAAAAATGGACCTATATTTATAATTTTTAATGGGGAGATTTGCTAAACAATAAGAACTCAAAGTACTAAATTGCAGTCAATTCGGTCGAAAAATGCGATAAAAACCCCCAAAATACCGAAGATTGAGAGTACCGTTATATGGGGGCTATCCGAAAAAATGTATTTATATTTATAATTTTTAGTGGGGAAATTTGTAACTCAATAAGAAATTCAAAGTACCAAATTTCAACGATTTTGGTTGAAAACGAGCTCAAGAACCCCAAAATACAAAAATACGGAGATTTAATACCCAATGCGAAAACGAAAGATCAAATTAGAGGTAATTTGATTTGAAAACGTGTCCAAGTAAGGTATTGCCGTGACTACCCCGTTCAAACCCTCCTAGGTGATCAAACTCTTCAAAATAACAAAATTTGGTAGATACCTTTAATAAGTGGATGTTGATAATTTTTGTTAAGAAGATGTTTCTATCCAGTGAGAAAAAACCAAAATATCAGCAAGTTTCATTGAAAATGTGACCAAAATATCGAAAATGTCGGGGCTATAAGAAAACGTGGACTGATATTGCAGATTTTAAATATTTGGAAATGTATAATTTCAACAGAAATGTATAATAATTGTTGATCAAACATACGTATATACTATATGGGGTATTGATGAATATTTCGAGGTATTGACAACGGAATTATACCCTCCACGTTATGGTGGAGTATAAACAAAATAGAGCACCGTCGCAGGACATGCGATTGGTTGAAATCGATTCAAATTTAAATATAGCTCCTACCATTCGATGATTTCGATTCCCAATACCAAAAGGTGAGTTTATCATCAACTTACATAAAATTATACAAACCATTGAAAGAGGATCATTCCAAGATACATATACTATCTGACTTCGAATTTTTGTATTGTGTTAGGGGCACATTTATTTTATTTATTGTGACTACTTAACTAACGTAGCCTCATTAAAATTTTTGCAACAAAGCATTATATTTTTTAAAAATTATAATGGCACACTACAAATTCAAATAATAATTATTTATCGTTTGTTTTTTTCATTGTTTTATTTTAAATTAGAATTTACAATTCATTTAAATTTGGATTGCATTAACAATAGACGACAGTTTACAAAGCTAGGTGTTTGTTTGTGTTGTTGAATGGTAGAAGTAGTGGCCTTCAGCTTCATCTTGTACTTCTTCTTCTGCACAGCAAATTAACCAATACTGAAGCTGCTGCATTTAGATTCTGCCGGGGAAAGTGCCAGCATCAATTTGATCGTTCCACTTTTCAATCCAGGCATTGGGGCACATGGAATTGAAGACCTTCTTGAAGTAATTGCAGGGTTCGTAGTTGGTACCACGCTTCTTTTGGCAGCGATGGAAATCCACATAGGATTGATAGCAGTAACGGGTCACGTTTTGGTTGGGGAAACGTGGATCAAAAGGAGCGGTTTCCAATTTAGTCATGTTTGTTGTTGTGTTGCCTTTTTTCGATGATGACATGGAGAAAATTTTAGGTTTTAAATTAATTCAAAATACTTTCTATTATAGAAAAATATACATATGGTGGGGGAGGATGGAGGAGCATGAAGAATGAGTAGCGAACGAATACATGGTAGATACGCATCAGCAGCAGCATCCAAATGAAGATTAGTTAATTTTTTTGAGACAAGCATTAGCATGGTTAGGCATGGTTTCATAATATGTAATGCAATAGAGTTAGTTTTTGTTAATCAAATAAGATAAGAGAAAATTTAAATACAAAGAAATGTTATTAAAACTATTGGATATTAGTTTGAATATTAATGTTAGTTCGGAAATGCAGAATCATTGCTTTTATAGGGTATGGTTTCTCTATACTGTTTTGTTCATATTAAGTTATTTTCGTGAGTTCTAATTTACGTTAGACAATTTTACTTGCGGCAATTCCGCCATTTGCAGCTGAAAGAAGTGAAGGTTTGTAATTCCCCTCAACTCTCTCAACGACAAACTACAGAGAATTGAGACAATTAAAATTGCCTATTGTAAAACAGAATTCCTGAATGAATTTGAGTATCTTACTAACTTATTTTTTATATTAACAAAAATATATATAAAAATATGAATGAAATACTTCAAGGGAGTTTGATAGTAACTCGATGGGAAAGCAACATAATGAGCTTTCCCATCGAAACCGGATACACATGAAAACTAGTGCACACAATGATTCTGCAGTCCTAATATATGAGTTTTGTATTGTATATTAAAAAACAGAGTAAGCATTTTTTTCTTTAAATTATATATTTATTTTTAAGTTTTTCACTTCTGTAGTCAAATTGTTTTGGAGTTGTTTTTTAATTACTGCACCAGCGATACGTACAAAATAGTTTTTTTTTTTTGTTAAAATATTTCATAGCCATAAGATAATAAAGCTATTATCTGAAATTACACAAATTATATTCAAAATAGTACTGTCGTTTTAGAACCCACTGTTGTTGCAGTGAAGGTATAAACAATATGTACCCAATGTACCCAAATTCCATTAAAGTTGTGCAATAATTAAGCAGAGATTACAAACTGCAAGTGGCCGAACTTTGAAAACCCTTCATCATATATATTTTCCCTATATTTGAAAATATAGGAAAAATACCAAAATGTGGACCTATACCGACCAAATTTGTTTCAGAAAATTTTGATATCATCCAAATCCATCGGTCCACTTCTTCTGGTACCACCCACACAGGTGCTAGGCCTAAATGCGGGTTATAGTTCATATATAGTTCATTATGGAACCTTACGTTCTAGTTTTTTATCTCGATATCCTTCGCAGGTGAAATGATTACAACAGAGTCTTAGAACAAATTAGAGAACTATTTTAATATAAAAAAGGGGATTATATGGGGGGCTGGATATTAATAATTTTTGGTGTGGAGATTTCTTACCAATATACTGAAAATTTGGAGGTACCGTTATATGGGTCTATCAGAAAAAGTGGACCTATATTCTTAATTTTTTGTGGAGACATTTAGTATCCAATAGGAACCACTGTACCAAATTTCATCAAATTTGGTTGAAAAACGCGCTCAAGAACCCCAAAATACCGAAAATTGGGGGTATCTTTATGTGGGGGCTATCCAAAAAAAATGGACCTATATTCATAATTTTTGATGGATAGATTTGGTACCTATTAGGAACTCAAAATACTAAATTACAGCCAATTCGGTGGAAAAATATGATCAAAACCACCAAAATACTGAAAATTAGGTGGTACCGTTATTTGGGGGCTACCAGAAAAAGTGGACCTATATTCATAACTTTTTGTGGAGAAATTTAGTACCCAATAGGAATTTCAGCGAATTCGGTTGAAAAAAGCGCTCAAGAACCCCAAAATACCGAAAATTTGAGGGTACCGTTATATGGGAGCTATGTCTAAACGTGTACCGAAATGTCCCATCTTCGAACTTGGCCTTCCTGCAGACAAACGACAAACCTGTGCAAAATTTCAGCAACCTATCTCAATTCCTTCAGATTACAACAGACGGACCGACGGACCTTGCTAGATCGTCTTAGAATTTTACCCTGATCAAGAATATATTTACTTTATAGGGTCGGAAATTAATATTTCGATGAGTTACAAACGGAATGACAAAAGTAATATATCCTCCATGCTATGGTGGAGGGTATAAAAATATAACAAAATTAATTTACAATGGGGCAACACACATTAGAACTTAAATTACAGTATGGCAACACGAATATTTTTTTCAACCATCATTTTCGAAAATTCAAATCCGCATGTCGCATTTTTTGCGTCTCCCTATTCATTCAGAACAAGGGGAGAATGTGAAAGCAAACAATTTTTTACATGCAAGACATCTTCTGAGCGTAACTTAGAATTCATCACCAAAAATGACTTAGGAAAAGAGAACAAATAGGAGTACATTTTCAACCATTTACGCTAACGTATGATTTTGGGAAGTTTTGAGCATCAATGGTGTAAATTGTGTTACAGATAAGTTGTTTTCGATTCTCTTTTATATTAATTTGTTTAGCCAACCTCTGGCCAAATTTTTGCTACATGATCGTATTTTTTTTTTTTAACATTTACTTGTTTTTTTAAACCGACGCAAAAATATACATTCAAATGTCCATAATTAACGATGTTATGAGCATGGAAATTTCGGAACTTCCCATATCTCGTGATGGATGTATGGATAATAATAATTAATCAAGCCAACTTAACAATTTGTAAATTCATTGAAACTCAATATTACACATTTTGTTTTGTATATAGTACACCGAATTCTGGATTTTAATTTCTGTCAATTATAACTAAAAAGGGCGTAATTTTAATAATATTTTTCAGGAACAACCACATGCGTTGAGTATTTAAGGAGTATTTTTTGTCAAAGGCCACCGCAGACATAAATATTTTGTTGTGAATTTTTTAAGAATATATTTTCAAAGACAATTTTTCCAAAACTTGAATTTTTAGTGAATAACTTTTCCGAACCACCATGACTTTGTAATGAATATTTTTTTTAATTAATATTTTTTTCGATGAATAATTTCAACATTACTCAAAATTACACCAAATATGCAATGTTGGCATTTGCAAAAGTGTATGGGTACTAATATGGTTGCAGCAGGTAAAATGTAAAAAATTAAGAGTAAATTTAGACCTAGAGGAACATGGTTAAATTATTATCAAGAAAATGTGTCGAATTCAAAAAAAAAAAAAAATTAGAAACATATAATAAAATTTTAATGTCTGATGATCACTCACAATTTCCATTACATTTTCATCGGGCTTAATCAAAATCTTAGTTGATGATTGATTCCAACAGCAGTTGAAGTTCACCAAACAAAAATAAAGTTTTTTTCATAACCATACCAAAAGACACATTTCTAGTACTTTTTTTCTTAAAGATGATTGTTGGTTTTATAGTCACTATTTTATGTTGGGGTTATAGGGCTTCCAGAATTTATATATGTATTGTAGATGATAGTAGATTTTGTTGTGGTTATGTTTACCAACATAAATTGGGGGTTAAATATTATTTTGTTGTGAATTTTTTAAGAATATATTTTCAAAGACCAATACTGGTGTTGATTAAAAATACAATTTTTCAAAAACTTGAATTTTTAGTAAATAATTTTTCCGAACCACCATGACTTTGTAATGAATATTTTTTTAATGAATATTTTTTTCGATGAATAATTTCAACACTACTCAAAATTACACTAAATATGCAATGTTGGCATTGGCAAAAGTGTATGGGTACTAATATGGTTTCACCTATAACAACTACAAACTGCAGCAGGTAAAATGTAATAAATTAAGAGTAAATTTAGACCTAGAGGAACATGGTTAAATTATTATCAAGAAAATGTATCGAATTCCAAAAAAAATTATATAAAATTATAAAAAAATTAGAAACATATAATACAATTTGAATGTCTAATGATCACTCACAATATCCATTATATTTTTCATAGGGCTTACACAAAATCTTAGTTGCACGCTTTTGATGATTGATTCCAACAGCAGTTGAAGTTCACCAAACAAAAACAAAGTTTTTTTCATAACCATAACAAAAGACACATTTCAAGTACTTTTTTTTTCTTAAAGATCATTGTTGGTTTTATAGTCACTATTTATTGTTGGGGTTATAGGGCTTCCAGAATTTATATAGGTATTGTAGTTGATAGTAGATTGTGTTGTGGTTATGTTTACCAACATAAATTGGGGGTTATTTTTTCTTCAATTATGCATGTATGTTCTATGTTTGTGTGTGGGTATCAGTGTGTGTGGATTTGCATTGTTTATAATAATTATATAATTTATATGGGTAATACATATTTTATGTATATATATAAATGTAACCTACAACTACTTATAACTATGCTTATGAGTATAGAAAAAAAATAATGGGAAGAATATTTCAAGATTCTCATTGGAAAAAAATAATAATTGGAAATAAAGAGAAAAAATAACAACGAATTATTCTCATTCGTTTGGAAAAAGAGTGTGTGTGGGGTTGTAAAAAACACAAAATATGAAAATAGAAATAAAAAAATTAATTGTAAGTAAATAAAAAAATTATATGCACAGTTCAATTAGTAATAGACAGACTCATGTTGTTTCAAGTTCATTTTTTGCTGTTCTTCTTCTACTTCTTTCTCCAAGATTTTTGTGTTGCTTATTTAATTAGTGGCCTGTTGCCTTGTTCCGATTCACAGGCGGTGTTTTTGTATTTATTCACTTCAGCCAAATATAAAGACCAAAAATCCTTTGGATCATTGCTGACTTCCGTTTGGGCCTTTGGCTTGGCCACCACTCCAGTTTTGAGAATCTTACCACCCTTACGGCGACCCACAATGGGTGGTGGTGGTGCACTTTTGCCTGTGGCTGTGGCCACCAAATATGGTGCCGTTGCAGGGCTAACCGAGGAGGCAGCCAGTATGGGTACTACAGGATTTACAATAGCCGGCGCCACAACAGCAGCCGCTGAGGTGGAGGGTTTATTGGTAACCGCCTGCTGCATTTGTTGTTGTTCTTGCATTTTCTTAAAGATCTCCAAAAATGAACCGTCATTGGCAAAGACCGGGTGTGAGGCCTCGGGCTTGGGTGGTGGATACACTTTACCCTCTTTGGCCAATGCTTGACGCAGCTTCTCCTCCATTTCACGATGTATGCGAGCCCGATCAATTGGCTCGTTTTCATCAAATCTGTAAATACCTTTATCCGAAGAATCATTTTCCTCCTTTTTCTGTTGTGGCAAGGGTAAATCGTCTAGATTTTGTGAGGGGGAGGAGGAGGAGTTCTCTTGGTCTCGGCTATTTTTAAAGGATTCTTGAGAATTGTCATACGATGCTTCATTTTCATGTATAGATTCTAAGTTGGTCTTGTGTGATTTTTTGTTATATTCATGATCCTTCTTGTCATCCCGATAATGTGAAGATCTAGAACGGGATCTGGAACGTGATTTGCTGTCACGCCGTTTATAATCTCCACCTGATCTTCTGTTATCATTGTCATAGTCATCACGATGCCGTTGTTGTTGCCGCCTGTAGTAGGCCGGTGACCTGGAACGTGATCTGGAGTAGGAGCGAGAGCGTGAGTCACGTCGATATCTTTTAGAATGTGAAGAATGCTGACTGCCACTGTCCAGGCGTCGTCTTGAGGAATGGCCACGACTACGAGAGCGGCTGCGGCTAACAGAGTAGCGGCTACTGCCACGACGATGGCTACCACCATGGCGGCTGCGACTTCGGCTACGACTTCGTGAGCGACTATAATCATCGCGATGGCGACTATAGGGAGATCTGCGATTTGAGCGACTTCGCCTATCGTCTCTACTACCACTACTGCGATGATAACCATAATGATCGTCGCTTCTCGACGACTCTATGTCGAAATCATCACGACGTATACGTTGTTGACCACCACTGCCACTGGACATGGTGAAGGTAGATGACGATGATGAGGATAGATTTGTGGGCTTTTACTTCGGCTGTCTGCTTTGTGTGTGTGTTTGGTTGTTTGTTTGTTCAGCACCAAGCCACCAATGTGAGCCAAGTACCTGCAAATCAAACCATCAACCTCATAATTAGAATTTTTTGTTTTTCATGAGAGTTTGCATTGCAGATTTTTTGTTTTTGTTATACCTATTATTCATTTTTTTTCATGCTATACAATTTCTCTTCAAAAAATGTTTTGTTTCGATTTTTTTTTTCATTAAATATTTTCTTGTTAATTTTGCCAGGTTACAAAAAACTATTTGAAATTTCTCTTTTTGGAATATAACAAGAAAATATTGAAACTTTTTGCAAAAAAAAAGTTGTTTTTTTTTTAGTTTAAAGACAAATATTTGTAAAAAATTGAATATAATTGGACATTACTTGATTGTTTTATCGTTATATGGGCCACTGCCTCTTCGAAGTGTTGATATGGTTGAACCAACAGCCTATTTTATTAGCTGCTTCCGGGATGCGTTGATTTGTGGTCAGTTGATTGGCTGAGGAGGCTGAATTGCTGCTGCTGCTTTTCTGGCAATTACTGGTTATGTTGTTTGGATGGTTGGCTGTTACCGCCGCCAGCCTCTTGGCTTGATGAATGTTTGTCCTGTCTGATATTTTTATAGCGTAGAAATGAAATGTATTTGTGTTTTTCGTAAATTCCTGTTTAAAAAAATGAACTTGAACGCATGAATATTTTATGTCTCCGCTTGAACTGTGCATTTAAAAATTTTCATTTCATTCATTTTTGTTTTTGTTTTAGAAAACCAAAATTTTCTATAAATTTTCAAATAAGAGTAAAAAATTATACTCCCTTCTTCTTCCACATCAGGTCTTTTTACATAATAGCTTTTTTCCCCTTATTATTAATGTATCCCCCCCAACACCATTGAAAAATAATCTTAAAACTATAAAACTTAAAATGCCTCGGAACATTTATTGCTCCATGGAAAAAAGTTTTCATTAAAAAAATATTCTTGTCGTTATGTAATTTTTTTTCTCTTCTTCCATCACAAGCAGCAGCTTGCTGGCTTGCTTGCCGTATAGCTCACCCTTCTTGTTCGTTCGTCTGTATGAACGACGACGGTGTGTTACATATAGAATGTGGTGCAGTAATCACTTAACATTTTTTTCTTTTCTCCATACACACAAAACCATTTCAATAAATCAAAATTTGCTTACTCTGTTTTTTTTTTAATTTTTGTCTTGAAATAATAGATGTTTTTTTGGGCTGTTTGATTTGTTTTCGATAATAACTTTTGCATACCTTTTGCAGGTTCCTCAAAAGAAAATTTTTCGCTGCTTCGACTCTGACTGACTATGTCACGATCCTAATAATGTGGCCGATTGAAAAATTTCGTAGCTTCAATTCGTTCGATTTTTGCTGAATTATTCGTTGCTGAAGAATATTCTCGTTGCTAAATGTGGCCGAAATTACACATTTGATTGCTGAGAAAGCGTACAACTCTGTGGGGCATCTTGAATTGTAACGGAAATTAAATGTCAATGAATGTCGGTTTCGTGTAAAAATAAGAAAATAGGAAAACACATACGAGGATTCAGACATGAAATGAAATGGAATATCAGAGTTAAAATTTATTTTGAACACCATTTACCTTTTACATTAAATCATGGCACAATAAATAGGTGTTCCATATAGCGCAGCTGACTATCCGATTAACTCTTTATTTTACTTTAGACGTTTAATGTTGCCAATTATGAGAAATGTTTCTAGATAAAACCAATAGCCTCGTTACTGACTATTTTTATATATTATTTGGACTATTTCCGTACTAAAAAATCCACTAATTTTTACTATTTTCTCATGGCAAAATAAAAGTAATAAAGTCTCATTTCAAAAATCCAAATACAACTATGCAATTTTTGTACATGAGACTTTCATATATTTGCAACCATGCATGCCAACAATTCAAATGTTGTTGTTTTCATTGTAAAATATTTTGTTTATTCACTTTATGTAATTTTGTTTCTGAAAAGAAAAATGAGCTAATTTAAACAAGTTAAAGGACCGGTAAACGATTTTAAATTCACAATTGGCCTGTTCCCGTACTGCAAGAATCTACTACTTTTTACTACGATAACACATTTTTCGGACAATGGCGGACCTTTGAAAAAATATTTTTGTAAAATCGACTATTTTTTACCACAAACCAAGTTAACAAATAAGGAAGATCTTGACCGATTGGATTTATCCAACTTCATACGATAGCTATACACTCACATTGAAACGTACCAAAATTCGGATTCGATTCGGATTATTAGTTTTTAAGGAATCGTGGCAGCCATTCGCAAAAACGCTGTTTGGAGAAAAATGCGTTTAATGTTTGAGAATTCCACTTAACGTCACCTTGATGGTATATCTTCAAGAGTTGTTTAGATTTTCACTTGAAATTTCATAGGAACATTCTAAAATTAGTATAGATTCGAATTAAATCATAATACTAATGGTCTGTTCCCGTTCTGCAAGAATCTACTAGATTTTACTATTTTCATCGATATCATAAAGGAAAATTCGTTATCGTAGTAAAAAGTAGTAGATTCTTTCAGTACGGGAACAGACCATAAATTAAATTTTTTGAAACCGAGAATGGGGGTGGGGGTCCCCTTAAATGAAAATCATCTGAAAAAGTGGCTCAGTGCACATATCGGTTAACTCAATAAACTTAAAGATTGAGAAATCCGCTGATATATGTTGTTTTCATGTTCTGATGTTAACTCCATAAAATTAAGGGTCTGTTCCCGTACTGCAAGAATCTACTAGAATTTACTATTTCCTTCGATATCATAAAGGAAAATTCGTTATCGTAGTAAAAAGCAGTAGATTCTTGCAGTACGGGAACAGACCATAAAAGTGAAATCTGATGATATTTATTGTTTTTAAAATTCCTTTAATAATATCAATTAAACTATTGGTATGTTCCCGTACTGCAAGAATCTACTATTTTTTACTCCGATTACACTTTTTTTCCTTTATGATATCGAAACAAATAGTAAAAACTTGTAGATTCCTGAAGTACAGGACAGACCCTGTGTAATGTAGGATACATAAAACGGCATATACATTCATGGTACAATTATAAAAGGTAACAGCAAATCCCAGCTGATTTGATTCCAACGTAATACTAGTGTCAATATAAATTTGACAAATTATGTTTTTAAAAATTACCCAACAGGAAAATTGGGAATGTATACAATTTGAAATTTTTCTTTATTAAATATGCTCCCGTATTCAATTTACCCAATATGCTGTGCTGGGAAAGTTTGAGGAAGCAAATCTTTCTTCAAGGAATAATTCGCAATTCCCAGCATTTTCATATGTGTTACACATGTAAGTGGCAATGGCTCAATTATAGGAAAGATGTGGAAGCGATAGGAATATAAATTTGATAGATTTTTATTCATGTTCTTCAAATTTTATTTTGAGGATTCGAAAATATTTCATTTTCAAAATAAATACAATTTGTTTGTTTACATTTTTCTGTCAAATGACGTTGACACTAAACAACAAATTTCCATGTGGTTGTTGTACAACAACTGACATGTTCCCGTACTGCAATAATCTACTATTTTTTTTTTTACTACGATAACACTTTTTTCTTTTATGATATCGGAAAAAATAGTAAAAATTCGTAGATTCTTGCAGTACGGGAACAAACCAAACACTTGCTGTTACCTTCTATTATTATACCATGTGATAAATCGAGGTAAACTTTATCCGATAAAAGCTATAGTCTAAATGCGCCTTTAAGAGCACTACCTAAAATTCAACTAGGGCGTTCGATGTTATTCACCACAAAAGTAAAACACATGTATTTATATGACTGTTACCGAAATACGTCGACGTACGAATTTTCCAAGTTGTAATATCGTCAATGAAATCGTTTTATCGATAGTTGTTTCCCTTCGATTGGAGACAAACATCGACCTAAACATCCCTAAATTCTGCTCCACCACAGTTTGGCAAAAAAAAAAACAACGTTCTCCAACAAATGTGCCAGATGTGTTTTGTGCGGTGTAACTCGTAGTAGCAAGCACGGGATGGGATATTTGTGATTGGCGAGCAAAATATAGAAACAAATCTCGTTGTATATATGAAGAAGAAATTAACAAATTAAATAGCGAAATACAATACCAATACACTTGTAAATACGAGACGACAACAACAAAAACTTAGACGGCGGCAACAGTGCGACGACAGCGAGCAGTAACCACCTATCACATAAGAAAAATTAAAAGAAATAACAAAAAACGAAATTCGACACATTTTTATGTAAATTGCACTAAAAAGTTTTGCCAAAGGTTAATTAACAGAGTGAGGTTTTTGTTTAATATTTAAAGGCAAACAACCTGACAAAAAGAAGCGTTACGAAGAAAGTGTCTTTCGAGCGAGTTTGTGGTGTTTTGTTTCGAGGAGGAAATTGCAAAAAAAAGTTTGTAACACTTTGACATTTCCATAGGAATTGTCCGACGAACGGGGAAGAAAGTGAAAAACAGCAACAGCAGCAGCAACAATAACATTAAGTGGAATTTTACAACCTTTTGTTGTTTCACAAAACGAAAACCAAACAACAAAATAATATTACCCACCATAAGTTGTGTGTCTGTAACAACAATACAAGTAATATACAATTATTTGTAGTAAAGTGTGTTGTAGTTGTTGGATTATTGATTTATCAATTAGTCGGTAAACATGGCACCCGCTCTAAGTAAACTACGCGAACATCAAAGTGCCATTGTGGGCCTAACAGGCATTTCAGCCGCCCTCTGGATTATAGCCTATGGCAAAATGAGCAACAAACGCAGGTATGTTTTAGTATGAAGTTCGATGAATGATTAACCTAAATATTAATACAACACCTATTATTGTGTACATATGTAGGTATATACATATATAGTAGCAGCAATGTCTTGGCTATTGTCAAGAACAACAACAACAGCAATACTCCAGGGTTAGCCATTTCGTGGTTTCAAAAACGTAAACGTAAATAGAACACATAGCAAGTATTTTATTTGTTTTTTTTCTTTTTTTATTATAAAATTCGAACGTTGGCATCATTTCGAATAAAATCCACGCGGTAAGATTTGAAGTCCTTCACGTACCCCATAAAAACAGGTCTAATAGTGTCAAATCGCATGATCTTGATGGGAAATTATTCGGCCAGGAAATGTCTCTTGCAGTAAAGCCATATTCACTCGAGTTGTGTGGCATGTGGCACCGTCTTGTTAAAGCAAAATATTCTCCAAGTTGTATTCTTCAGGCAAAAATTCGGTTATCGCAGTATCGTCGTTTTTGAAGAAGTAAGGTCCAATCTCACCTTCAGAAGGATGTAAAATTTTCTCTTCAATTACTCGATGGTTCTCAGAACCCCATATATGGCAATTTTGTTTATTAAAATAACATGAGCAATAAACTTCCAAAAATTGTGGAAAAAAACTGCCGTACACCGCCTGTGGTAATAAAATCTGTCCAAAACTCCTAAAATTTAGAGATTTGTACAGTAACATAATATTGGATCTACCCAAAAAACTGGACCCATATTGATATTTTTTGGAGGAGGATTTAGTATCCTTTTAGAACCTGCCATACCAAACGATAAACTTGTCCATAATTCTCAATATATCGAAATTAAGTGGTACCTTTAAATGGGGGCTATCCTGAAAACTGGACCCATGTTAAAAATTTTTAGTAGCGATATATAGAACGGCAAGCAGTTTTGCCAAAACATTGTTAAGAAAAAATGCTAGAAAGTCGATTTAGCCATGGCGTCCGATTTAACTCGGTATATTGAAGACAGAGCTTTGGAATTTTGCATTTTTACATTTTTACTACTCCTAAGACATTTGGTAGTGGAAAGGAAATATCCCAATATTCGATTTTTTTTAAGCTTTTGGGCACATTTTGCAATCTAATTTGCTAAAATTTTTGTATTTTGGTTTCTTACTAAAAATTATCAATATTGGTCCACTTTTCACAATCGAATTGGATTTTGGATTCTCGTTAAGTTAAAAATTTCCTTATCTAAATTATTAATACGGGTCCATATTTAGACAATAATTTTAAAAATAAATATTTTAGCCCTTATTCTGACATAATCCTAATGTAATGGGGGGCGATCGCATATTTTTTACTTTGAAGTGATTATAACTTGGCATTCTGGATTCCCTGTGAGTAAAAAACAACTTCTTTCTGGAAAGTTTACAACATTAATCATGGTCATGGATAGAAAAATTAAGTTCGGAAAATATAGGACATTTAGATGCGTCAATATGAAATCGAAAAGCGCCAATTTCCATGGAATGAGAATAAAAATTGTAAAAAATTCCTGAAAAATAAAAAAAATTCTAAAAAAGTGATAGGCGCTAGATAATTTTTTTGGTGCTAAACGAGTTAAAAAGGTGTTAAATCTCGCACTAAAAGTGCTAAATTGGCAACACTGATTACAATATAAATCAAAATATGAAACTATAGCCAGTTCGGTTAAAAAAGTGTCAAAAATACTCAAAATACCGAAAATCGTTATATGGGAGCATTAGCAAAACATGATCCTAACTAGTCTATATTCTGTCCACTAATTCCCACAGGCATAGGCTAAAATTGTGCAAAATGTCAGCAACATATCTCAATTGGTTATGGAAGATGCTAATTTATCGCCGCAAATTCTATGATTTCGACTACCGTGCGACGTTGTGAATGATCGACAAGGAATCGACATGTTCGGGTCTTGGAAAAAAATAGTTTAACTACTTAGTTTGACAATTATCAAATTCCCGCACGATACTTTTGAAACCACGAAATCGATAATCCCTAACAATGAGCAAAATGCTAACCAAAAAAGAAATTCTTCTTCGGCCCTCATGTGTATATGGAGTTTTCAATAAAAACTATCAAACATACTATTTTATAAGTATGTGTGTGTGCAATTTTTTGGAAAGTCATTGTCATTGCTAATAGTGTGAGGAGGTCGTTGTTCGAACATCGACGACGAGAAACCGCTAGTGACTGTTGTCTGTTTCATTAGTTCAGTTTGCCTGTCTGTCTAACAGACTGATTTTTTACACAACAATAGCTACCAAGCAGTTAAGTTAGTTGCTTTTGCATGTGTTTGACTTACTGACTAGTTGGCTGTTTCACTAGCTTGCACAATTATCTACAAAAACAACCACAACTAAGCAATCCGGTTTTTAACATACCGTCTCTCAGATGCTGAGATGTGGGTTATGTTAATACCTGTATTTTGTTTAAGATTTACTTCTGGTATCTGATGAATTTTCAAGTGCATTTTAACAGAATTTGTTTTGCTGTTGTTGTTGTTTCTTTATTTTTGTGAAGAGCTTGTTTTAACAACAAAATTAAATTTTTGTTTTGTCCTTGAGTCACCATAAATTACTGAAATCATTTCGTTTCGTATTGGTTGTTTTCCGCTTAAAGAAGCCGGTTTTTATGGGTTCAGTTTTTTTGTTCGATTTTTTAATATTTGTACCCATCTCAGAGGCTAAATTCATTATAATAAAATAAGAGGAAGTATAATTGGGATATCATTTTTTTTTTTGTAGCAATCTATATCTAAAGAAAATCTGACAAAAACCGTCTATATATATAAAATACCTCAAAAAGTTATTCCACCTATAGTAGACCTGAAAGACGTATTTTCCATCTATAGAAGAATTTTTTATATATAGAAAACGTAACACAGGTCTTCCATATATGGAAACCTTGAGTGAGGCTAGAATATCTGATAATTGTATTCTGTTATAGAAGATTTGATAAAGTTATTTTTTTTAGAAAATCTAACAAAGGCTTTTCTTTTTCAATAGAAAAACTGAAGAATTTTTCTTTCTGTAAATGATCTGACAAAGGCCTTCTTGAAGGTTCGATAGAGTACTTTTTTATTCTATAGAACTCTTATATTTGAAATGAGGGTCACTGATGCAGTGTAGAATAGATGTAGCAATAATAGATTTTTTGGACATTAGAACTATAAGTACTAAAATTTGTACAATTTCGTAGCATGTGAAGGAATAGAGCTAAAAATTTGGAATGCGAATCAAGGTGGAGAGTAGACATACCATCTACTTACAACAATTCGATTCGACGCTATTTTGGTTTAATACACAGGGTTGCATCTGCAATTCACCACATTTTATTCGTGTCTGCGAAACACACAGTGGGTGACATCTGTACTTCACCACACACGATTTGTGTCTATGCTACACACAGCGCAGCGCCATCTATTGGTAATTGTCTGAAACTCGATGTAATTTGATCCGAGTTTAAACCAAATCTCATATTCTCCCTACTGTGGTTCAATATTGATAATTTTTGGTAGGACTATTTGATATACTATGAGAACCCAAAATATCAATTAGGAGTCAATACGTTTGAATAGCGTGTCTGGAATCCTCATGATACCAAAATTTTAAAGGTATTCCAAAGAGTGAGAACTCAAAGTATCAATTAAAAACTAATTTGGTCGAAAAACGTGCTCAAGCCCCCTGATATACCGCAATTTTGGAGGTACCCTTACATGGGGGGCTATTCCAAAAAGTTGTCCAATATTGATAATCTTTGGTAGGAAGATTTGACACACAACGATAACCCAAAATATCTATTTAGAGTGAATTCGGTTGAAAAGTGAATCTGAAACCTTGAAAATATGAAAATTAAGGGGTTCCGTTGCATTGATCACAAAAAATGGACCAAAAAACGGATGTTGTTTTGGAAGCGTGTACTCATGTTTACGAAATGTACTAAACTGTACAAAATTTGAATTTGGAGAAACGGATAAAGCTGCAATACTGAAATTAACATTACCGTCGGAGTGTAGGATAGCGATATGTTTGTAGTTTTGGAAATTTGTACCTATGTGTACGAAATTTACTACATGGTACTATATTTGGTTTGAGTGAACCGATGGAGGTATAACAATGAAATTTGGACATATGATTACTACTGCATTGAAGAATTGAGGTTTATTGGCTGTTTGGGAAATTCGTACTTATATTGTACTAAATTTGGTACAATTTGAATTTTGGATGAACCAAAAGAGTTGAAATCCTGAAATTTGGAGTTAGAATCATTATTGGGGTGTAGGATAGGGATACGTAAGGCGTTTAGGAAATTTGTACTAAATGGTACTAAATTTGGTAAAATTTGGATTTAGGTGAACCGATAGAGCTTGAACACTGAAATTTGGAAATATTGGAAATTTGTGCTTATGGGTACTAATTGGTACTAAATTTCATATAATTTGAATTTTGGGTGAACTGAAGGAATGGAATCTTGAAATTTGGAGTTAGAGTCACTGTTTGGGTGTTGGTTTGGTATATGTGGGAAATTGTGGAAATTTGTACTAATGTGTACAAAATGGTACCATATGTGGATTTGAATGAACCGATAGAGCTGGAATCTTGAAAGTTTGGATCACTGTTCAGTTTTGGAAATTCGTACTAATTTGTACAAAATTTAATACAATTTAAATTTTGGGTGAACCGATAGAGCTGAAATTTGTGTTAGGATCCTATATTTAGGTAAATTGATCGGCCTGGAATCCTAAAATTGGAAAATATGATTTTTATTGGATTTATATGAACGTGTTCTAAATGGCGCTGAATTTGGTAGACTTAAGATTTGGGTGAATCTATAGTACTCAAATTATAAAATTTTGAACTATTCTTTAAAATCTGCAAATACGGTTATTGGCTTAAAATTACATTACGACCTGGTCGTCGATCATTTTAAAATTTATACTATAAGATGTAATAGATATAATTATTGTCTTGCAGATTATCTATACCAAAATCGA